TATGTTTTCTTTTTTCTTGGGTAAATAACTAGTCATGGAATTGCGGGGTCATATGATAACCTCTGTGTTTAACTTCGAGGAACTATCGAAAGTGTTTTCCAAAACAGCTATACTATTTTTTATTCCCACTATCAATGTACAAGGGTTCCAATTTCTCCACAGCCTCACCAATACTTGTAATTATCTTTTTGATTATAGCCATCTGACTGGGTGTGAAGTGGTAACTCATTATGATTTTAATTTATATTTCCCTGAAGATTAATGTATTGAGCACCTTTTCGTGTGCTTATTAGCCATTGTGTATCTTTGGAGAAATGTCTGTTTAGAACTTTTGCCTATTTTTTAAAATAAGGCTTTGTCTTTGTATTATAGAGTTGTAGGTCTCTCTCCTTCATCTGGCTTTTAGGACACCACCCTCTCTTGGTTGCCCTCCTCCCATTTTTCACTCCATATCAGTCTTCTTTTCTGGTTCCTTCTCTTTTCCCTGACTTTTTAATGTTGAAGAGCCCTAGGGTTCAGCCCCTGGTCCTCTGCTCTTCCTGCTCTCTCATATTTTAATACCATCTATATGCTATCAACTTCCAAATTTCTATTTTAGCAGGAGCTCCACCTATACCAGGCAGCCTGGGATAGTGGGTTTGGGAAGCACTCTCTGCCCTGAAAGTCCAGCATCTCTTAACCCCTACCAAGTGACATTGGGTCAGGAGAAGTTTATTCTGCCCTTACAGACAGCACTAATAGGAACCAAGCAGAAGCCCCAGGCACCAGATGAACAAAGCAGACTAGAAGACTGTGCCCCAGCTCTAAAAACCAAATTGTAATTGGAACCACAGCCCATTAAAGTAGGCCAGGACCTACACATTAAACCTAAACAGTGTGACTGCCTATTAAGATAGATTTAAATAGAATCTAGAGTCTCCTAATATAACATCTAAAATGTCCAGAATACAACTGAAAACCACTTATCATACCTAAAACCAGGAAAAAATAACAACTCGAATGAGATAAGACAATCAACAGACCCCAGCACAAGATGATGAAATAGACAGTAGAATTATCCAACAAAACTTTAAAGCAGGAATCATAAAAATATTTCAATGATAAGTAAAAATACTTCTGAGGTATTTTTACATGAAAATATACAAATCTCAGCCAAGAAATAAAAGATATAGATATAAAAAGATATAAAAGATACAAAAAATACAAAATGGAAAGTATGGAATTGAAAAATAAAATAACTAAAATTAAAAACTTACTGGAGTGGCTAGGTATAAGAACAAGTATAAAAAAGAATCAGTGAATTTGAAAATAGGACAATATAATTACCTAATCTGAAAAAATATAGAAAAATCAACTAGAAAAAAAAAATGAACAGAGCCTCAGGGACCTGTGGAACAATAATTAAAAAATACAACATTCGTATTATCAGAATCCCAAAGGGAGATAAGAGAGAGGGGCTGAAAAGTATTCGAAGAAATAATGACTGAAATCCTGCCATTTACAACAATATGGATGAACCTAGAGGACACTATGCTAAGAGAAATAAGCCAGACATAGAAAGACGAATATTATATCATCTAATTTATATGTGGATTAAAAAAAAAAAAGGTTGAACTCATAGAAACAGATAGTAGAATGTGGTTACCAGGGGCTGGGGTATGGGAGGAAATGGGAGATGCTGGTCAAAGGGTATATGAACTCAGTTATAAGATCTAATGTACAGCATGGTAACTATAGTTAATGACACTATACTGCATACTTGAAATTTATTAAGAAAGTAGACCTTAAATGTTCTCACCACACACTCAAAAAATGGTAACTATGTGAAGTGATGAATATGTTACTTCAGGGGTCCCCAACCCCCAGGCTACAGACCAGTACAGGTCCATGGCCTGTTAGGAACTAGGCCACAGAACATGAGGTGTGCGACAGGTGCCAGTGAAACTTCATCTTTATTTGCAGCCGCTCCCCAGTGCTAACATCACTGCCTCAGCTCCACCTCGGATCATCAGGCATTAGATTCTCATAGGAACACCAGTCCCTGGTGCCAAAAAGGTTGGGGAATTGCTGTGTTAATTAACCTCATCATTGTAATCATTTCACAAAGCATATGTACATCGAATTATCAGGTTGTACGCTTTATATATATATATAATTCTGTTTGTCAATTATACCTCAACAAAGCTGGAAAAGCAAGGAAAGCAGGAAGGAGTTGAAAACTTTCCAGAGTTGGTGAAAGGTATAAAACCTACAGATTCGTGTAGTGGTTAGCATGTCTGCTTTACACACAGAAGGTCCTAGGTTCACGCCCCAGGTGGAGCCACGGACTATACTCCGGTGCGCCAGGCTCCAGGTGCATGCCTCGAGCGTGTGGGAGGAGGCACCCTGCCTTCAGAGATCCAGTTCTTAAGGGGAGACAGCAACATCCGTAGGTCAGAGGTGGGAGTGGGGGGAGGATTAAAAAAGGGGGAGGGAACCCTACAGATTCAAGAAGCTGGGAAATCCTAAATAGGATATATCCTAAAGAAATCCACAACAAATGTCTGTCTCCAGCCCAGACAGTTTTTCAGACTCGTCTCTCCAAGTGCCTAGTCCATATCTCCACTTGGACATCCACACACTGTCAATCTTAGCATGTCCAGAATAACAACCAGTCTCCCCTAAGCCTGCTCCTCCCACAGTCTCCAACATCTCTAGAAACAGCAGTTCCATTTGTTCAGACCAAAAGTTTTGGGAATCATCCCTGAATCCTCTATTTTCTCCTACTTCACATTCAGATCACTAGGAAATTATGGCACCTCTCCAAAGTATACCTGGAATCCAGTCACCCACTTCCACTGCCACCAGAGGATTACTGTGACAGTGTTCTAACTAGCTTCTACACTTGCTCCGCTATGATCCTCAACAGAACAGCCAGGAAATCCTTTTTAAATATAAGTCAAATCATATCATTCCTCTACATGAGACTGTAATGGCTCTCATTTCACTTAAAAACCAAAGAGCTTACCATGGCCTATGGGGCCCTATATGATCTGGCCCTGTCTGTTAGTCCTCTGACCTCTTATCCTGCCACCTTCCCCTTCCTTACTCTGCTCCAGCCACTCTGGTCTCCATGCTGCTCCTTGTACTTTTCAGACAAGCTCCCACCTTAGGGACTTTCAGGGCTGTTCCCTCTGTCAGGGTTACAAATTATATGACTTAACTCTTTCACCTGCTTCAAGTGTTTCTTTAATAAGCCCTCTCCTGACCATCCTAATTAAAAATGGAAACCATCCTTTTCTCTGCATTCATGATCTTCTTACCACGGTCTACCTTTTAATTTTTACATAGCTCTTATCAGCTTTTAACTATCATATATACTTATTTATTATGTATATTTTTGTTGGCTGTCTCCCACACTAGAATATAAGTGTCATAAAGGGAAACATCTTCATCTTTTTTGTTCCCTCATACTTCCCAAGTGCCTAGAACAGTGTCTGGCACACAGAAGGTACTCAATAAATATTTTAAAAATAGGATGGAATGACTGAGAGGCACTCCCTGGTCTGAAAAAGGAAATAAGAAGGTATGTTGGTTTTCTATTGCTGTTTAACAATTACTGCAAATCTAATGCCTTAAAATAACACCCATTTATCATCTTGCAGTTTTGTAGGTCAGGAGTCTGGGTATGGCATGACCAGGTTTGCTGCTCAGGGTCAAGGTGTCGACCGGATGACTGGAAAGACCTGCTTCCAAGTTTCCATATATTGTTGGCAGAATCCAGCTCCTTGTGGTTGTAAAGCTGAAGTCTCTACTTTTTTGCTGGCTGTTGGCTGGAGCCACTCTCAGAATCCAGAATCCACTCTTAGGTCCTTGACACATGGCCATCTCCACAGGAAGTTTACAACATGGCAGTTTTCC